GTATCAGCTAGATCGTCAGTATCAGTATCAGTATCAGTATCAGTATCAGTATCAGTATCAGTATCATCATTATTATTATGTATTCCCTGTATAAACAAAGAGAGGGTGTTAATTCACAGTTTCTCTTTGTTTACTGATAATCTTGTAATTTAAAAAGCTGTACAAAATATTATATGGTTTTTGTTTTACCTTGAACAATCAAGAAGAGAAATCTTGTCTACAAGACCTCTTGCCTCTTCCATCCTTGCATCCTCTAACCTCTCATTCTCTTCCTAAAATATAGAAATATAAATACAAAACAACTAATTTAGAATTTTTCTTGTATTTGGCCATTTTCTGAGAGTTTAGGCTTATGAAAGTAGAGCAATACATAAAATATCGTTTGAGAAAATAGTCCAGGTATTAACCCTAAACAGGGAGAGGGCGGGGCGTTCGACGCCCCTCCTCTCTACCTTTTTTGTTATGGTTAAGGAAATCCGCTAAATTATTAATATAAATCCGTAAGTTTCTGTAGTGTACACAAACCCAACAGAATATAAACTATTATGAGTACCACGTGGAGTAAAGAAACTTTTTCATTGTTTGACATTTGCTACAGTAACAACCAGAAAACTTAGAATAGGAAGACGACATTACAGCAATACTAAAGAGCATTTAATGTTGTTACAAAGCAAATTGCTTTTCTAATGAGTTATTAAATCACTTAGTAAGTGAAATGGGTCTGTTTACACTGTACAATTGCTTTGCCTCATGTTCATTGGCATATTTAAAGTCATAACTTGAGTCTAAATGTCGACTTTCTATTTCAGAGTTTTCTGGTTATCACTGTATTAATATATTAAATCGCTAAACACCTGAATGAGTTGCTCCAATTGCTCCTCTATAGCAGTCGCTTCTTTTTTCATGTTTTCAAGCAGTGCTATTTCAGCAGCTTCTAAAATTATAATATGAACTCTGAAAGTCTTAACGGACGAACGATAACATATTGTTAAACTAATCTGTTTTGACCGTTTTTTTTTTATTTTCAATAAAACTTTCAAAATTTGAAATCTTTATTTTGTTAAAGTTTGCTTTTTTAAATCTTTGCAATATTTTTAACCAAAAAAGAAAATGAGAAAACGATTCAAAATCAATTGTTACAACACGGTTGTTTTTGGACAGTTTTTGGGTTGTTTTTGTATATATCTTCTGTCAGAGTCAAAATATGACAATAAGTGAAAAAACCCGCAAATGTTCAGCTAACACAAAATTTAAAAAAATGTCTTGCACTATGCTAAACAGTAAACACAGTGTCTTTCGAGTCCGAATTTAATGAATTTGAGCCGCGTCTCAAATCCACCTAAAACCGGTTTCAGTTGATCGCCGGCTTAAATCTTAAAACATTGAATACATTTTTAAGATGAATCAAATATTTGAGCTGCGCCTTAAATTTAAGCCATGGTTCAAATTCTTTAAATTTGGCCTCAGTTTCCATTTACTAAAATCGTCAATATAATGACATTTAATAATTATATAATTATCTTCTGTACATGTCTTATTCAAAAGAAAACTTACCTTTTTCATTCATTATTTCATCTTCTTCTGCTTTTATACCCCTAGCATATTCATATTCAAACTAAAAAAAAGAATTATAGTTAAAAACATAATTCAAGGTGTTTACCATTGTTAAGTATTGGATGGATTCGAATTATGTCTACGTAATTTTAATCTTTACAGATTTCAAACTATGAAGTATGATAGATCATATAATTAAAGTTTGAAATATCTAAGGTTTACGCCACTATAGTTATACAGATATAGGGATTAGTATATTTGAGTTTGGTGCAAAGACTCAATTCCTTTCCGTCAAAAAGAAAGACAAGTATATAAGGTTTTCTCAAAATTTTAATATGTTTCTGTTTTGTTCTGTTTTGATATTGCGGTGTACTTTGATATTGGCCGATTTTTACACTGACCACCACTAAATAAATCTAATTTTAGTTTAATCAAATAAAATGTAATTTTAGTTTTTAAAATTTAGTGTTGATGATATTCAATCCTCATAGAGTAAATAAAGATGGTGTTACTGTTTCCTCCACATTTAAAAAAATTATATTTCAGTCTTTAGTTTTAAGTTCAAATGACATAATCTATATTATAAAGCTCTTCGCTCATATATATATATATATTTTATTCCAACTGATGATTGGGTTAGACCCATGAAACATTTTGTCTTGGAAGAAATATATATTTAAACATCTAAAATGTATATTTAAACTGAAAAAGTTGAAAATGTATATATGTATTTATGTCAGCTATACGGCTCGACCAAATTGGCTGAAATTTTCTGAGGGAACCAATGGATACCCTGGGGATAACATTGGCAAAAAAATTTTTTTTAAACCAAATTTTTTTCTTCAAAATTTGACTTTTATAAAAATTCCAGGGGAAACACCGGCCACTACAGCTAGTGAGCATCAAAATCAAAAAGAAAAGATAAAAATTCACCCTGTGATGTAAATGCTGCGCAATCTGAATGCAAGGATCATCTGTGGAAAACTGTCTGTACACATCTCCAATCATACTTCTAAAAATATCAAAACATTTCTTAAAAAACAATTTTTTATTTTTTTGAATGGTCTTTCTTAAAAAAGTGTATTAATAAAGAAGTTACAATTGTTAATGATGTCTCATTGGTCCAATCAAATTTAAAATTTAAGACTTTTTGTAAAACAAAGTTTCATTTTCCGATCAATTGATATCAATACAGAATAATTGATATCATTACATAATTTTGAGTTCTACAGTAGCTAAACTAAATATGATTTCTTATGTGTTTCGATTACGCGATTCTAACAAGATGCGATTTATTGCAAATATTCAAATTCCCCCAAAAAATTAAGAGATTTCAAATAGTAAAAATTTAAATGAATAAGAAAAGAGAGATTGAAGTGTTAAAATCTTAAGTAACCCTCCATTTGAAAAATATCCTTAATTAAACGCTTTGACTGATTAAGAATAAATGAGATATCCACGATTTCTCTTTAAAAATAGTTAATTTTAAATGTTGGTTTCTCTATAGAGTTACTTGCTGATTTCTTGCTACAGAAACAATTAGGGACATTTTAAGAACTTAAACTTTTCAAAAACGATGATAAATATTTCACATTGTTGATCGATAAAAGTTAAAGGATACCATCGGGAATGGTCCTCAGTAAATGGATGGTTATTTATTTGGAAAAAAAGTTTTAATTTATCTTGACATTTTGATGCTTGAAAAAGGCTTACGAAAAAATGCCGCGATGATTGTAAAATATTAATTTCCATTTACATTGTGACACCCTGTATAATGTAAATTACCAAATACATTGTGACACCCTGTATAATGTAAATTTCCATATACATTGGGACACCCTGTATAATGTAAATTTCCATATACATTGGGACACCATTTTACCTGAAGTCCTCAGCAAATGCTTCGGAAGTTTCATATTTTCCAGATTTTAATTTGTTTTCCAGTTTTCTCAATGGGAACACATTGGCAGAAGAGTTCAGTGAGAGGGACGGAGCTGGAAGGGATTGGGAGGAAACTGGAATGAATTTGGAGGAAGCTAGAATGGATTGGGAAGGAGCTGGAATGGATTGGGAGGAAGCTGGAAGGGATTGGGAGGAAGCTGGAATGGATTGGGAAGGAGCTGGAATGGATTGGGAAGGAGCTGGAAGGGATTGGGAAGGAGCTGGAATTGATTGGGGAGGAGCTGGAATGGATTGGGAAGGAGCTGTAAGGGATTGGGAGGGAGGAGAGTGCGGAGGAGAAAGCGAGTGATGAAAAGGGGATTCCTTTCCTTGTGAATGAGTTGGGGACAAGGAAAGGGATTGTGGAGTTAAGGAATTATGTGGGGAGTACAAGGGAAGGGACTGAAGAGGGGAGTGGGAAGTTGGAAGGGAACTATGGGATGAGGGGTAGGAAGGGGAATGTATTGAGGAATGAGGAAGAGAATGAGAAATCGGGCGAGGGGACGACTGAGGTATGGAATAAGGTGAAGATTGAGGAATTGAATAAGGAGAGAATTGAGGTAGTGAGCTAGGAGGAGAGAGAATACCAGGGTAGGAATGAGAGTTTTGGTCATGTTGGGTCCGTGGGTTGAATGGGACCTGGAGAGGGTCGGAGTAAGATAAGACCTGATCAGGTTCAACTCTTAAACCTTGAACTGGTTCAACTCTTAAACCTTGAGCTGGTTCAACTCTTAAACGTTGAGCTGGTTCAACTCTTAAACCTTGATCGCTTTCTTGGATCAATGTTGATAGAATTCTCTCACAAAATCTAAAAAAAATTTATTTTAAAAAAATTCTAAAACGGTTTCTGAGCACTTCAATCTTAACATTTATGTCTGTAAGTGGTTGCTGTTGTTAAATGTCGTTTTTATATTACAGTACTTGCAATATGCTATCTTCTGACTTATATCATAACAACACCATGTCAGCAATTAAAAAATTAAAAAATATTATATTGGTTGAAATTTCTTTGCAACATTTCTAATCGATATGTTCAATGATACTATTTAAGTAACTTCATATGACTTACAACTGACAATTTAAAAAAAAACCAAAAACAGGGCATGTCCTATTCACAATGTTACCCTTAAAACCTTTATCTGATAGATCATGTGAAAGATATCGACGGGTTTTATTCTGACAATTTTCTCATCTTGTCTCTGAACCAGATAATACGCAAGTCCAAAACCCAGGATTGAAAATAATCAATATTTAATGAGAAGATTATAATTATCAATCATGCATTCTTGATGAGACAAAGCTTTACAGCGTACCGTTGTGAATCGGTATAATTGGAGCTGTGTCACTTGAAATTAGATGTAAACTGTACAGTCCCTTTAAAATTACAACTTTAATTTTTTAGTCTTTGCAAATTAATGTCGGAAACCTTGAAAATTTCAACCTATGACATCTGATAGAGCAAATAGTCAAAAATTTGAAACATATGGTTACAAAGCTGCAGAGGAATTAAAAAAAACTAATAGCTCGCATGGCAAGTAATCAGTTCCAATATTAAATATTACCTTAAATCTTTGGGTTTTTGCTTGTCTAATGTTTTTCTGGTTTGTCTGAGTAGTTTGTTAGTAATCTCCTGGAGTTGAACTGCCCACTGATGAAGAAGATGATCTGGGGGATTAAACTGTCGCGCATTTCGCCAAACTATTAAGAAACAGAAACTAAAACTTTTGAATGAAAGAGTGCTTAGTCCGACGACTGAACTCGATATCTACAGCGTGTACTTATAAATTGAAGGATTTAAGCTTAATTCCGGGGATATACTGGGAATCATCCTAGAGATAATTAAGAATTATTAAAGTCCCTCAACTATAACTAAATCGCAAGGCGATAAGAGAACTGACTGAGCCTTTAAAAGTTCAGAGTTAAGATTTAAAAGTTTTGGCCTGTAACTTTTTAACTCAAAATATTACAACTACAAAGTGTTTAATTTATAATTTCAATTGATGGAGATCAACTTTAAAACTCTAAACTATTTCCTAATGTAAAAAAGGTCCATTTTATGAAACTGTAGACGTATTTTAAAGTGCTCCTCCAAGAAAGGCATGTCCGATGAACGACAGTATCCCTTTTTTCGCTCAAAAAATTGATTAATTTGAATCGTAGTTTTTATGTTAAAAATGACTTGCAAATTTATTAAAAATTCTACGTGTTTAAAGATCGCACCATAGTTTCAGTAGAAGTAAATATTTCCAAATACTGATAGTGCCGATTAAAAGATTCATATCTCTAATTGGATAATGAGATAGATAGAAAGATCGATGTTACCGCCATACTATTTCTATTGGTTCAGAATAGACAACAAACACATGGCTAAACCCTGATTGGATCAGGCGCTAATGGACTCGACATGCAGGAGTGAACGAGAAACAACGATTTCTTCCTCATTTAGTTTCTTGGGCAAATATATAAAGGTTTCCGTTGAGAATTTAAATAAAGGATTATTTTAAACTACATTTACAATCCCTTTAATAGTAATAAATGAATACACGTGGATTTAACGGTTCTGTCAATACTCCAGAAAGCTGTGACTTTCGATCACAATTTGACCCATTAAACATATTTTTTTAGCCTTTTTTCTTAAATACTTTTTTGTCGGAATATACATTTTCAATGAAAAAGTATAAAATAAAACAAATCCGTAAAGTAAAAGATTGTTGAATTATAGAACAAAACACGTTTGATTTCAAATAGAAGAAACCGAATGCTGTTCCCTCTGGTTAGTCCAGGGTGAATACCTTACCTAGATTAATATCTTGAATAAACTGACCCATGTTTAAATACCAGCCGTGGGTCAACCTGGCGCGTACACTGTATAAATCCATCGGATGGCTGATAACCTAAAGAAAGTAGTTTTTTCATGAAACAAACTAAGTTGTCAATCCCTATATCTTTGCAACCTGATGGTAACCTTTGATATTTCAAACTTGGAATTTTTGATCCAACAGAATTCATAGTTTTAAATATTGCAAAGGTCTCCGACATTGTGGATTAAACATATAGGGATTAGATAATCCGAGATTGTGGCAAGAACTCAGTGTTTTCTTCAAAATCTTTATTGATTTAATGAATCTTAAAAAAATCAGAAAAATAAGGTGCCGTGTAAAGTGGCAGTTTTCACTTTATGAAAGGATGAATTTAAACATTTCGTTAACGATCAAAAAAATTTCGTTAACGATAAAAAACAAAAACAAAAACTAAACGATCGTTCAATAACGATCTTTAGTGAAATGAAGAAATGAATTTGTCGATCTTTTAAATAAAAAAATGTTACTTAAAAAATATTTTTGTATATCAGAATTTTTATTACAGTTTATAATAAAATAGACTTACCAAAAAATAGTCTGGGTATATTCCTTCTGTGATAGCGTCTACAGGGTGTTTAAAGGGTAGAGCCAGGGGGTGTTTCATTATCTTTGGCAGTACATGTTTACGTACATGATCGAGCTCAGGGGTCAGCGGATACCTATACAGTACAGTACATGTTTACGTACATGATCAAGCTCAGGGGTCAGTGGATACCTACAGTACAGTACAGCAATAAAATCATTTTAAAGGAATGTTCACGTTATTTTGAGGATGTTAGGTACTTTCCCAAAGGCATTTTCCCAAGCGGAAACTTCCCAAGTTTGTCCTAACCGCAGCGTTCGGCCCCTAGCCTGTTCTAGCTGCGGCGCTCAGACCTCTATCCCATACTAGCCGCAGCACTCGGCCCCTATTGCTGCCTGCGGTGCCTTAGAGGGCCTGACCTAACCTTTGGGAAATTGCACATTTGGAAAGTTGCCACTAATGAAATTGATACTTGGGAAGTCCACCTATAGGTAAATGCCTTTGGGAAAGTGATTCACCATTTTGAGTGCCCCCAGCCCCTTCAATCTTTTTAGCGAAGGATATGTCCAATTCACCATGGTACCCTGTAAACCTTCGTCTTGTTAAACATGATGAAGATATCCTTGTTTTCCTATCTTCAACTGATTATTTCCAACAGTTGCTGCTCTTTAAAAATAACTTGCAGATTTATGCAGCACAGACAACGAAGGAAATTGTCAGAATTATAAACTTGTCAATACAGAAAATTGACATTATCTTCACCATTGTTCAAAGAGTAACATCTTGAATCGGGCACAAAAAAAAGGTCAAATAGAATAAAGTCAATATTCTCTTTAATAAGCATATTCCCTTTAATTAGTAGTACATATTCCCTTTAATGAGCAATACATATTCCCTTTAATAAGCAGTGCATATTCCCTTTAATAAGCATATTCCCTTTAATGAGCAGCACATATTCCCTTTAATAAGCATATTCCCTTTAATAAGCAGTACATATTCCCTTTAATAAGCAGTACATATTCTCTTTAATAGGCAGAACATATTCCCTTTAATAAGCAGTACATATTCCATTTAGTGAGCAGTACATATTCCCTTTAATAAGCAGTACATATTCCATTTAGTGAGCAGTAAATATTCCCTTTAATAAGCAGTACATATTCCATTTAGTGAGCAGTACATATTCCCTTTAATAAGCAGTACATATTCCATTTAGTGAGCAGTACATATTCCCTTTAATAAGCATATTCCCTTTAATAAGCAGTACATATTCCCTTTAATAAGCAGTAAATATTCCCTTTAATAAGCATATTTCCTTTAGTAAGCATATTCCCTTTAATAAGCAGTACATATTCCCTTTAATAAGCAGTACATATTCCCTTTAATAAGCAGTACATATTCCCTTTGATAAGCCGTACATATTCCCTTTAATAAGCAGTACATATTCCCTTTACTAAGCAGTACATATTCCATTTAGTGAGCAGTACATATTCCCTTAAATAAGCATTACATATTCCCTTTAATAAGCAGTACATATTACCATTAATAAGCAAGACATATTCCCTTTAATAAGCAAATTCCCTTTAATAAGCAGTACATATTCCCTTTAATATGCAGTACATATTACCTTAAATAAGCAGTACATATTCCCTTTAATAATCAGTACATATTCTCTTTAATAAGCAGTACATATTCCCTTTAATAAGCAGTACATATTCCCTTTAATAAGAAGTACATATTCCATTTAGTGAGCAGTGCATATTCCCTTTAATAAGCATATTCCCTTTAATAAGCATATTCCCTTTAATAAGCAGTACATATTCCCATTAATAAGCAGTACATATTCCCTTTAAAAAGCAAATTCCCTTTAATAAGCAGTACATATTCCCTTTAATAATCAGTACATATTCTCTTTAATAAGCAGTACATAATAATCTGCCACGTCACCTTGATATAGATATAATCGATTTCTTAAATTTAAAGTTTTTTAATATTTAGTCAATAAAGTATTTATTTAAACCTTGGACGTGTTTTATTGAGCGTAGCCAAATTGGTGACCCCAAATTTTTTCGCTCCTATAGACTGTTCATTTCAACACTATAGACTGTTTTTAAGCTACTCGCTCAAGTGAAAATGCCCAAGGACGGTGATAATGTCCCGGTCTGAGCCGAACCAAGCTCAAGGGAGTAACCGCCAGCCTCACGAAGAGTATTATTGCGTCTCGTCCTTCAACCAAGAGACTGCCAACCAAGTCCTGGATCTGATCAAGTCTCCTCCATCCTCTGAACCTTACGAAGCCTTGAAGCAACGGTTGTTGAGACTCTTCGCCCTAGATGATTTTCAACTTTCCCTTTAATAAGCATATTCCCTTTAATATGCAGTACATATTCCCTTTAATAAGCAGTACATATTCCCTTTAATAAGCATATTCCCTTTAATATCCAGTACATATTCCCTTTAATAAGCAGAACATAAGCCTCTGTTGTCACGTCAAATTAAATAAAATTCACGTTAGAATAAAATCTTACACGTTTTTATTCATAACCTCTTTTTTTAAGCGAAAAAATAGCGTTTTTATTTACTTACATGCAAGTAAATTGATTTGCTTTTCAATACTTTGACATATACTCAAAACTGGTCGAGCTCAAAGGGCACATTAGTTGTACACCAGTATTTCAAATTAAGGAATTGAACAATCGCCAAATTATAATGTTCTAATCCAATCCCTATACCTTTGCAATCTTATGTCTTGGACCAAATAGATTATGTTGTAAAGATGTAGGGATTAGAAAATAAGAGTTTGTGGCAAATGTTTTAAGGTCCTCTTTGATCTTTAATTCTTAAACGTCTTTAAATCTTTAAATTTCTTCCCATAAATTTAATTCCCCCCCCCCCAGGATCAAGGTGATATTTTTGTTTCATCAATGTATATTGTTTATACATACATATCTGTCAAAAATAATATGCCTTGAAAGTTTACCATCTAAATAAATTTACAAAAACACTTCAAACCTAATCTTTTTAAAAATAGATATTTAACCAACTTTAAACTTAAATTGAGAGAAATGTTGAAATGAAAAAAAACAGACAAATTCTTAACTGACAACTTACTTTCATTAATTTTCATAAAATCAACGCAAAAAAATTTGAAAAAATTGAGATAATAAATCTAATATCCATATACGAATAAATATTCAAAACTTAAATCAAAACAACTGACACAAAATATATCGTTTAACTAGATACTTTTTCTATGAATAAAAACAATAACAAATAACGGACAAATTATAGTAAACAATAGTTTATAAAGATTGAAACAGTATTTAATTACCTATGTTTTGGTCTGACTCTAGGCTGAAAAAAACCTTCCTCAGGAATTCGATTCATGTTTACGTTTTATTTATTGTCTTCTTTATCTTTTATTATATATGTATTATATATGAATCACTAAACTTGACTGAAATGCGTATACAAACGCCTTAGATCAACTGATTCTGAAATGAATAGGAAGTTCTAATACTCTGCGTCTGTTATGGGCTGTGACGTCACGGCTTCTCATCTGCGCACCCCCTCCCTTTACCTTCCTTCCCCCCCCCCCCGATACTGAACCAATCTAGAAACCTTGGAAATCTCTACGCAGTTAGAATCTGCTTCTCTTTTTCCTAACGCATAAAAATGTTAAAATTAAATTCCTGAAAAAAAATAAATGCATTTTTGATATGAATATGAAAATTACATATATATTCTCTTTGCTATTGCTATATGGATTTAAAAAATGTTCCTTTATTTCATAGATACCAACTGCAGGGCAATTGTCAAACACATATTGCATTCAAATTCATTTTCATTTTCATTTTTATTGTTTTTTAGTTTAATTTTCAATATCATAGTTGCTGTTTCTAGGAAAGAAAGTAAAAACTTTTGACGACACTTCTAGAATGTTCTAGAAAGAAGACGACATTTCTAGAATGTTCTAGAAAGCAGACGACATTTCTAGAATGTTCCAGAAAAAAGACGACATTCAATATTTTGTTCTAGAAAGAGAAAATTCTCGAAAGTTCTACATCTCGAATGTTCTTTGAATTATATATGCGCGCGCGCTAAATCTATAAGCCAGATACATTTCAGCGCTAAAGAACTATTGAAGTTTACAAGTCACAACCGCAAGTGAGCTATTATTACAATGGGAAAAGATTACTATAAAATCTTAGGAGTGACAAAAGGAGCAACTGATGCAGAATTAAAGAAGGCTTACAGAAAACTGGCGCTCAAATACCACCCAGATAAAAATCAAGCCAAGGAGGCTGAAGAGAAATTTAAGGAGATTGGAGAAGCATATGAAGTTTTATCCGACGAGAAGAAAAGACGGATTTACGATCAGGTTGGAGAAGATGGCTTGAAGAATGGAGCAGGACAATCTGGTCCGAATATGAATGGAGGTATGCCAAATTTCTCTGGAGGCACTAGTTTTAAGTTTTCTCAGTCTGATCCTAGAGAAACCTTTGCCAAGTTCTTTGGATCATCAGGGGTTGGAGGATTTGGAGGATTTAGCGGAGGTCTTGGAGGATTTGATGATCAGATGGATGTTGATTATATCGGAGGCATTCCTGCAAGCTTCGGAGGGAAATCTTTCAATCAACAAGACCCACCAATCATAAAAGAAGTGAATGTAACCCTAGAAAATTTATTGACTGGATGTGAGAAAAAGATGAAAATCACCAAGAGGAATTATCAAAATGATGGAACCTTTTCTTCAGAGGAGAAAATTTTAAAGATAGCTATTAAACCGGGATGGAAAACGGGTACTAAGCTAACCTTTAAGGAGGAAGGAGATAGGATACCAGGAAAAACACCCGTGGATGTAATATTTGTGTTAAAAGAGATTCCACATGCTGTGTTTCAAAGAGATGGAGCTAACTTAAAGTATACACATTCTCTTAGCCTTAAAGACGCGCTTTGCGGAACCATGTTCCAAGTGCCAACACTAGAAGGGAAGAGAATACATGTCGACTGTTCCAGAGACGTATTGAAACCAACAGAAACAAAGCATCTACAGGGTTATGGTTTACCCTTTTCCAAGAACCCTAATCAGAGAGGAGATATCATTATAGATTTTAACATTATCTTTCCTGTAACCCTTTCTGAATCTTCAAAAAACCTAGTTAAATCTGCTTTATCGTAAGCATGCCAAATTTTGTACAATTCAACCAGTGAAGAAATCATAATTTACATGTAAAATATTATTAACATATCTAGTATTGGCAGAATAAATTATTAAGAATACATAGCATATTTATTTCATTTTGTTTATTTATAAGACTGAGAGTTCATGGATATAAGTATAGTTCTATAAAGTTTGTTTAAAGTATACATAATTTTTGAATAGTTAAGCTTTAGAAGAGGTTAACAAAAATTGCAAAAAATAAATTTCAGAATATAAATTATTTATTAAAGGAACTGAAATTCTTTTATCTTAGCAATCTGATGGCGTAAAACTTTGATATTTTAAATTAATAGCTTAATATATTAAATGTCTACTACATTGGGTTGCAAAGATATAGGGATTTAAAAATTAGAGTTTGTGAATATAACTTATTACCAAATTTCGAAACTTATGACACACATGACAAAAGTTTCAATGAGAGTAGGTCAAATGGGGGGGGGACTTCAAGAAGCCCCCCCCCCGGCATTGTCAGGGTTAAGTAGGACGGATTCCACAATCCGTAGCTGCTGCAAAATTGCAATTGTAGATTGCTAAATCAAAGTACAAACCAGCATTGCAGGACTTTTTGAATATATTACCCTAAAAAAAATCATTTAAACAATAGTATGTTTTAAAGTGAAACACCTTTGTCCAAATATGTGACAACGTTAAAGCAGTTTTCAAGGTTTAACATATGAAAAAATCTGTTTACAACATTTGCTCGAATAAAAAAAATACATTTTAAGAAAAAAAAACTGAACAATTGATTTTAAGCCAAGAATACTGCAAACAGTGAATAATAATTAATAGCAAAAGTTAGCTGAACTAGGTAAAGTGAGTTGAACTACAGTCGTCGTCGTAAATATTAATACAATGAAAACTACTTTCTAAAAAATTTTGATTTCTACCAATCTTTCCAACAGCAGAGTCATTTAAACATGTAAACAAAGAGAAGTTTTCAATTAACAGCGTCTCTTTGTTTATTTGATAACTAATGTAAAAAAATGCTTGTTAGGTTAGATATCAAAGAATTATTAATAAAATGTCGTCTTCACTGTATTGATATAATCGCGAGAACTGTACCTCTCTTGTGTTTAGCGTAAAAAAGAAGTCGAACCTAGTTCAACAGTTTCTTGATTTTACAGTTATAAACAGAAAACTGTAAGATAGAAAGACGACATTAACGCCATAGTTTTCCTAGTACGTTAATAAAGCACTTATTAAGTGAAAAATGGGTCTGTTAACACTGCACAATTGCTGTACCTCCTGTTCATTTGGCTATTTTAAGTCATAACTTGAGGTTAAAAGTTGACTTTCTATTCCAGAGTTTTCTATGTTATCTATGTAAGGACTGTAAATTAATCATTCTAATTTTAAAAACAACCTGTGCACACTGAATAAATCCCTTGCAACTCTCAGGATCCGGAAATATTCCATCTTCAGAACACTTTCCTGGGCCTATAATATATCCTTTTTAGACTTTCATTCTAATTTTTAAAGGGACTGTAAGCGTAATTTCAAGCGACCCTCCAAGCAAAGATGCCAATGGTTGATTCACAACGGTACCTTTAAAAGCTTTGTCTGATATAATTATATATCTATAATTTTAAAAACTGTTTATTTTCAAGTGTGGGTTTTCTACAAAAGTGACTTGTCCATTTTTACTGCAGGAAAACATATAGGAATTATCAGAATTAAATACTTTCAAACCTAGAAAAACGACAATATCTTTCAGAATGTTGATCAGAAAAAGTTTATGTAAGGGTGGCAATAATTGGGCATTGATAGGGTCATTTCAAATTAGGGAAGCAGTCCCTTAGTGGATAATATTTTAGTCCACACTTAAAGGACTAGTGGACCTTTTTTCAAGGTACTCTCTATTTATAGACTGGCATGTCCGATTCACAATTTAATCCAAGGATGTATAAAATATCCCTCATTTCTCTTTAGAAATTTGTTATTCTTGATCCAGTTTCTCTGGGAAGTGACAAATGGACTTCTGCTTAAGAAAAAATTGAGGAAATTGCTAAAATTAAACACTTGAACCAGAAAAATTACGACATCATGTTCAGTTGGTTGCATTTTCATAAACTTTTAAAAATTATTGTTATTAAATGATTGTTTTTAGGCATGGGGGGGATATCTCAAAATAATATACATTTTCTCCTATGGTTTTAAAAGCATGGAGCCCATTTTGAAAAATTTAAGATTTGGATTACTATTTGTTTTAAAATTGTAAAAAATTGTATAGTCAGGTTCCTGTAGTTTATGGGTCCTACAATTGGTGAGTAGTTTGGAATGTCTTTTTCCATAATTTTAAGTTGTTTGATACCAAAGATCAATAAAAATAATACATGGGAGTCATGTTATATTAAAATTGATTTCAAAGTAAAAGATAATGTAAACCCACCAAGGATGTATAACTGTATCCTAGTTCATTCAACCCAAGCTGAGTCTTATCATGAGTTGAGGACTGGACAAACAAATAATAATGATTTAACCCGTTACTTTGCATCTGTTACCAACGGGGGTAGGAATTTTCCATGGAGACGAGATTCAAACCCTGGTGACCCTTATCTGGGGAGCACGGATAAGGGTGCTTTTGTCGGCAGAGAAAGCAAACTGAACGTCCATTTTTTGCCCCGGAAGAGGGTTAGTCTTGATGATGGATCAGAGGAGAAAGGTCGATAACCTCTCCAGTAGCTCCAGGAGGAGAATTATCTTCATCTATGATTCCAGGATTAACTTCGGTTAATCCTCAGTTTGTATTTTAATAATAATGTAAAATAAATGTCTGTGCAAAGTTATCAAATCAAATCAAATCAAATCATTTATTACATGAAGATTAATATTTTTGTAGTGCTTTAATCGATTCAACCTGGCTTGTTATATTGAGTTTCTCTTTGTAAAGTTTCCTTTATTGAGTTCTTTATACGTGAGTTTCTCACCAAGTTTATAATAAGTAAGCAAAAGATTTTTTAAACTAAAATTAACTTTTAGCTAAATGTCATGTTTGAGGGACAGCATGTTGTTAACTTTAAAAGTCATAATAGTAAAATAAAAGAGATCAATAAGGATATTTCTTAACATTTATTTAAAAACGAAAGTTTTGAAATATTTGCCCCAGTCAGGGTTGGAAATTGGTTGGTTAGGAATTAACAAAGGAAACTATTGACGAATATCTGTGGTCACATTATGGGAGTTTTGTAGAGCTTCATGTTGGTGGTCCAGATCAACTGTAGAAGGAACATCAGGTTTCCACTCTCTCCAGGCTTCACATTAGGGGGGAGAGTTCTCAGTAGTATCATTTTAGGTTTGAGGAATTACGTGTCTACTCAAATTGGTTCCTATGTTGAAACTCTTAGGAAATTATTGGGCTGGATGAAAGCATCGTCTGTTGATAGTCAGGTATCTGTATCATTACCATGAAGAAGCCAGTCTTGCTCCCTGAGAGGGAGTTGTGAGGGAGTGTTTTAAGCTGACCAAGGAGTGAGGACCGGGAGNAAAGGGCGTGGGTCACATGCTATCCACTGCAAACAATGGAAAAGGATTTACACATATCATGGAATAAACAGCGGCATACAAACTACATAGAGTCGTCTTCCTTATATTTCGAATTTGTGTTAACACATGTACTTTTTATAATTAATAATTTTTTTTACCTACACCGATAGTTTGGGTTGTGGTGGAAGGAGTTGCTGGCTGTTGTGTGGAGACAGCTGGAGATTTTGTTGAAACAGGAATACCAGAGAGCTTAAAAAACATTTAAATTTTTGTTATTTCTCAGTCCTTTCAGGGACAAGTGTAATTTTTGGTAACCCTCTAAGCAACATATTGTGAAATTTGAAAAAATCTAAATTCTTACTAAATCTTAATTTTATCAATTTACTTCACAATACTAAAAATTTAACGCAATGAACTCAAAATGATACTTTATTGATTAAAATAGACATAAAAAGCAAACAGTTATATAAACACAGCAATGTCGAGAGTCATTTTCATTTCAAACTGCTTCTCCTCCACTCACTAGAGCTTGTCCTCGACAAACTTGCCTAGCCTCCTCTCCTCCATCTTTCCGATGCAGTTTAATGAATAAATATTTTACCATTACTGGCATCCAAAGCAGGATGAGGATGAGGACAATTCCAATAGTTTATCTATGACAATGCTCCCATGAGACAGAATGTTCTGTTAATTAAGTTAATTTTTAAATTACATGCAATTCATTATACCATGATGGAAGCTAAAGCAACTTAAAGATCATTTTCGAGACACCCTGGAGTAATTAAGAAAAAAGAAATGTTTTTGTTTAACATTTTTTTTAAGTTACCAAACAGAGAGGCTGCAACCCCTTTTATATAAAACTTACTGTTGTAGTTGTTGTTGTTGTTGTTGTTGTTGTTGTTGTTGTTGTCGTTGTTGTTGTTGTTGTTGTTGTACTGAGTTTGCCCTGAAAAAAAACTGTAGTAAAGACGTGCATATTTTTAACTACTTGACTTTGATCTAAAAACATTCCCTAGGGTCATGCGAGGCCCCAAAAAGATAAATTTGGCCTCATCCGATTCCGTTTTGCCTCTTATTGGACACAAACAGACACCTAAGCATAGTATACATATAAAAAGATGTTAGAATTTTCTAACTAGGAACAATTTTTAATACAATAAACGATATGTAGTGGGTGAAAAAGTTATTGAAAATCTTTGGAAAAGGGGAAAAGCACATTTTCAAATATTAGGCCTACTTTAGAAGGTTAAAATTACATTTTGGAGCAAAGTTTTTCATCTGCCACCCCCCTCCCTTACTTTGTTTGGACATGATTTTTTGGCGGATTTATTTGTGAAGTCTTTTTAATAAAATGGAACTGACCATATACTTGTGAAGTTCAGGTTCCATGAAAACAGATACAACTTCTTCCTTCTCACCATTCTTTAGGCCTGGCAGCTCAACCTGAAAATGAATACAGATACAGCTTCTTCCTTCTCAATATACTCTAGGCCTGATAGCTCAATTTGAACATGAATACAGTTACAGCTTCCTTTTTCCCAACATACTCTAGGCCTGGCAGCTCAACCTGAACATGAATACAGATACAGCTTCTTCCTTCTCAACATACTCTAGGCCTGGCAGCTCAACCTGAACATGAATACAGATACAGCTTCTTCCTTCTCAACATACTCTAGGCCTGGTAGCTCAACCTGAACTTGAATACAGATACAGCTTCCTCCTTCTCAACATACTCTAGGCCTGGTAGCTCAACCTGAACATGAATACAGATACAGCTTCTTCCTTCTCAACATACTCTAGGCCTGGATAGCTTGCAACCTGAACATGAATATGGATACAGCTTCCTCCTTCTTAACATACTCTAGGCCTGGCAGCTCAACCTGAACATGAATACAGATACAGCTTCCTTCTCCTCAACATACTCTAGACCTGGGAGCTCAACCTAAACATGAATATGGATACAGCTTCTTCCTTCTTAACATACTCTAGGCCTGGTAGCTCAATCTGAACATGAATATGGATACAGCTTCTGTAAGATCTGTGGAACTTTATAAACTAATGTGTGTTCAGGGTGTTCAAAGTCGAGAAGTTCTCCAGTTTGTNCAGATACAGCTTCTTCCTTCTCAACATACTCTAGGCCTGGATAGCTTGCAACCTGAACATGAATATGGATACAGCTTCCTCCTTCTTAACATACTCTAGGCCTGGCAGCTCAACCTGAACATGAATACAGATACAGCTTCCTTCTCCTCAACATACTCTAGGCCTGGCAGCTCAACCTGAACATGAATATGGATACAGCTTCTTCCTTCTTATCATACTCTAGGCCTGGTAGCTCAATCTGAACATGAATATGGATATAGCTTCTTCCTTCTTAACATACTAGGCCTGGCAGCTCAACCTGAAGATGAATATGGATATAGTTTCCTTCTCCTCAACATACTCTAGGCCTGGCAGCTCAACCTGAAAATGAATATGGATACAGCTTCTTCCTTCTTAACATACTCTAGGCCTGGTAGCTCAATCTGAACATGAATATGGATACAGCTTCTTCCTTCTTAACATACTAGGCCTGGCAGCTCAACCTGAACATGAATACAAAATAAATGAATAACGGGCAAAAAAAAAGCCAATTTTTATCATGGTAAAGTGCCTGCAAGCATAAAATAAAGTGGCCTTCCATCTAAAGTACCTTTTAAATTTATGACTTATTAATGTTCTCAGACTTTCCTTACTTATCTATAAAACATTTTTAATTTTAAACAATTTGTTTGCAAGCTATTTTGATTTTAAAGAATACTTGTATTTACTTACTAGAAGTCACAGAACAAAAATATCATTTTAAATCTTTGACAACCATGTTTAGTTCACAGAGTATGCTACCATACACTCCAGATGTATGGGTTTGCACAAGGTGACAAGAGATTGAAGTTTGCAGCAGATATTATAGCTCCCTCGGCTGGAGCCGGAAAATTAATGTTATTGACCATCCCTCCAGTGGAGTTATAAGTGTCCTGAGTTTGATACAGAACATTAGACCCATTTTCATTTCTTTTATATTTTGATCTCCTGAGGTCATCTTCAGATCAACAACCTCTAGGTTCTGGTATGGTCGGAAAAGGCATTGGAATAAAATTAGAACACCTATAAAGCTATGATGTAATACCTCACATGACTTATTTTTATTGATTTCATATTTTGACCGCCTAAGGTCAATCCCTCTTGAGGTCACATGACCTTCTTTTATTAATCTTATAATTTGAACTTTTTAGAGGCCATAACTGAAATAAGGTTGAACTGGAGGTCAGATATCTGTGTTTATACTAGCACATGCCTTATTTCTATTTCTCGCTCTTTTTTGATGGAAAATTTAAGTTTGATTCAAGAAAGGTCGTCATTGCTCAGCATTTTCCAGAAATTCTTAACCTTATCCCTTCTGGGGTACTTGAAAACCAGGATACGCTTGGGGGGGGGGTCAAGTTGACCCTTCCCCTCTAAATCCCATGTTTGATGTCCAAATATAACAAATGATACAACATTGGAAAGCTCTTGTGCTCTACTTTTAGAATCTGAAGAAAAAATTGAAAATTTGCAAAAGTTGAATTTTTTTGGAAAATCCAGTTATAAAGTAAAAATTTGTGAAAACAAAAATTGTCCAAAAAATTACGAAAAAAAACATTTATGAAAAGCCCTTGACCATGCCATTTCCAATATGCAAAAAATTTTGCAACATTTTAAATAATCTAATGAGTATTTAAGAAAAACTAAAAATGTGCAAATTTCCTTTGACGGGTTGTTTGCAAATAATTTGCGAAAAATTCTTTGCAATACTTGAGTCATCCGTTTTCTTATGTCACAGGCTTTCCAAAAAGCTAAACGTTATCAAAATCTGACAACTAAAAGTGGGTCAAACAGGAAAAAGCAGCCATTAAGGCAGTTTGCCTTAGGACTCAGTTAGTTAGTATAAAAGCCTGGTTTTGGGCCTAAAGAGAGGGCTTTGGGTATTTAGAAAAGTCAGAAAATTTGAACAGCCTCAGACCAATACTTTTTGAGTTATGTAAGAAAAACTACAGGGGGNCAGGAATATGGTAAAGAATAAGGAAATGTGTTACCTTAGCAGCAGAACAGGTCTCAGTGTCAGCATCAAATTTATACGCATTGCATTGTCCGTCAACCTTGTTGCAGCGTAGATGACAATCTACTACACTATCCTCATTAGTCTACAGTAGACAATAAATAAGACAATCTACTATCCTTATTAGTCTACAGTAGACAATAAATAAGACAATTTACTATCCTTATTAGTCTACAGTAGACAATAAATAAGACAATCTACTATCCTTATTAGTCTACAGTAGACAAAAAATAAGACAATCTACTACACTATAGTAGTCTGCAGTAGACAATAAATAAGACAATCTACTATACTATATTAGTCTGCAGTAGACAATAAAAAAGACAATTAATTAAACTATATTAGTCTGCAGTAGACAATAAATAAGACATTCTACTATACTATATTAGTCTGCAGTAGACAATAAATAAGACAATCTACTGAACTTTATAAGTCTGCAGTAGACAATAAATTATACAATCTACTACACTATATTAGTTTACAGTGAAGAAGAATAAAAGAATTTACTACTCCATATTAGTCTGTAGTAGACAATATGTAAGACAATTACTATACTATACTATTTTGCAATAGACAATAAATAAGACAATCTACAAAATTATTTTAGTCTACAGTAGACAATAAATAAGACAATCTACTGAACTATATTAGTCTGCAGTAGGCAATAAATTAGACATTCTACTATACTTTATTAATCTGCAGTAGACAATAAATAAGACAATTAATTAAATTATATTAGTCTGCAGTAGACAATAAATAAGACATTCTACTATACTATATTAGTCTGCAGTATACAATAAATAAGACAATCTACTATACTTTATTAGTCTGCAGTAGACAATGAATAAGACAATCTACTATACATTAAACTATATAAGTCTACTGTAGACAATAAATAAGACAATCTACTGCGCAATATTAGTCTGCAGTGGACAAAAAATAAGACAATCTACTATACTATATTAGTCTGCAGTAGTCGATAAATAAGACAATTAATTAAACTATAATAGTTTACTCTAGACAATAAATAAGACAATCTACTTTACTATATTAGTCTGCAGTAGTCGATAAATAAGACAATTAATTAAACTATAATAGTTTACTGTAGACAATAAGTAAGGCACTCTACTGTGCTGTATTAGTCTGCAGTAGACAATAAATAAGACAATCTACTGTACTATATTAGTCTGCAGTAGACAATAAATAAGACAATTAATTAAACTATATTAGTCGGCAGTAGACAATAAATAAGACAGTCTACTATACTATATTAGTCTGCAGTATACAATAAATAAGACAATCTACTATACTATATTAGTCTGCAGTAGTCGATAAATAAGACAATTAATTAAACTATAATAGTTTACTGTAGACAATAAATAAGACAATCTACTTTACTATATTAGTCTGCAGTAGACAATAAATAAGATAATCTACTGCGCTGTATTTGTCAGCAGTGAACAAAAATAAGACAATCTACTATGTTATATTATTCTGCAGTAAACAATAAATAAAACAATCTACTGCGCTATATTAGTCTGCAGTGGACAATAAATAAGACAATCTACTTTACTATATTAGTCTGCAGTAGACATTAAATAAGACAATTAATTAAACTACATTAGTCTACTGTAGACAATAAATAAGACAATCTACTGCGCTATATTAGTCTGTAGTAGACAATAAATAAGACAATAAGTTAAACTATATCAGTTTACTGTAGACAATAAAGAAGACAATCTACTGCGCTATATTAGTCTGCAGTAGA